ATTATCCACTATAATCTTATCACTTTTATACTATTATTATGTTATCATTTTCTTGAATTGTGTGCCAAATTTGCCTATAAAAAGGCAACACATGTAGTGTAATTGTTGTGAGGTACGAAAAGAAGTGAAAAGAAGAAAACTCCTTATACTTTTGATCCGGTTTTTACATCGTGTTCTTTATTTTCATGGCATTTTATAATATATATTTTTTTTTAGGACAACGGTGCTATACAATACTAGTAACAAACTAACAATAACACATCACACACAGCCTCTTCACATAGTAGTAGGTTCAATCCAAATTCCAATCACTTCCAGTCACTCTTCCAGATCGAAAAGCTCCAACACTTCCTCCCACAAATGGCCAAGCTCCACAAATCACAGCCCTCGCTTTTTGTCGACCCCGTCTATTCATCAGCAATTACACTCCTCATCATAGTTATGGCGTGCGCGGAGCTCTGCGACGCTGTCACGGTGGTCGACGTGTACCGCCTTGTCCAGTACGATCTCGCCGGCATGCCTTTCGGGTCGCGGTTCGCTGCTCTTAACCACCACGCCGGCTCCTCGTTGTACTCGTCATCCGCCGGCGCGGCAGCTGATCTTTCCCGCACCGTGCTTATCCTACCTGTCCGCGAATTGAATCTCACTTCCATTAGAGGTCTCTTTGTTTGAAAGTATCAGCCTTTTTTTTTTTTATATATTTTACGGGTCGTTTAGATGGCATTTAATGTTTGTCTGAGTTTCTGAACTTTTGGTAGTTGTTGTGGGTTCGGGAAGTGGTGACTTGAGATACAAATTTAGCCAAGGAGTGCTTTTCTAATTAGATTCTAAAGGTTATATCAAATGGTTCAGTATGGAAAAAGTGTGTTTGAGCTGCAAAAGCAGTAGTTAGGAAAAACAAATACAAGAAAACCTGTTGGTCTGAAAGGAAAAAAAAGGTCGACTTCTGTTTAGTTTGTGAATCTGAACCTTTAGACCACACATGTTGGATCTTTAAGCCAAAATGAGGTCCTATTACATTGGTACTCGGAGTTATCTGGCTACTGCCTGCATTTGCTGCAACCCCCTTTTGTAGTATAGTAGAGGAATACTACCCGGCCTTCTTAATATTACAAGCCTTTTCAGTTTTCTGTGTTTCTAAATGCCTTTCAGCGGGCTAAATATGTTACGTAACCAACAAGATAAAAAGAAATATTATGGAAGTGAAATAACTTAAATAATGCTGATTTTAGCTTCAAAATATAAAGATACCTACTTAATTGTACTGTCTTCGACACCCTTTTGAATCTTGATGCACCTGACTGATCTTTGTACCTGCTCATATGCTTGTTTTCATTCAGTCCGATGCATCGGTGAAATTAGTTCTTTTAACATTGCTCTGAGTTTCCATATTTTGGTGATTTTGATTTGGGAATTGATTCTTCTTATGTTGTGATTTTATTTGGTCCCAGTTCCTTTGGGATCTTCGGTGTTATAGGTCATAGAATAATTTCCTTCTCTTGAAATAATTTGATTGTCATCAGGATTTCTTTTGTGACGTCATTGGTATCGAGGCTGCCCCGAGTCTGAGATGTTGTTAAGAATCAATTGAAATGATTTGAGCTTCTTTCTCCAACTTCTGCTAACTTTTGGATTCCCTGAATGTTAAGAATTTATGTTATTATATTATATAACTGAGTCATCAGCGGTTGCTTTAGCATCGGTTTATGCTCAATTCTGATTGCAATCTGGTTACATTTACATGAGTATGCCTCTCTTCCACAACTGCTTGACCAACTCATTTCCTGGAATTTAATGACAGATTATATTGAACAGAGGAAGCCATTAGGTGGTCTCTTACTTCTACTTCCCCAAGTTTCTAATCCACGACATTTGGACGAGGTTGGTGGGTCTGATCAGGACTCTGCACACGTTATTAAGGATATGATAATTAAAGTGGAGCGGTTGCTTGTACATCAAAATATCCCTGTGAGTGAAAATGATTTTTCTGTCTATTGGTAATCATTCTGCATCTATATTTTTGGTGCTTCATTTATATCTGAAATGAAACTTCTCTGCTGAAGTGCCAACCATATATCTAGTTCTCGTTCTGATAAGGCCTTCTTATGTCACAGTATCCTGTTTACTTTGGTTTTGAAGATGAGCATGTTAATGCTATGCTTCATGATGTCAAGAAGAATGATGCTGCTGGTCAGCCGACAACTGCGACAACTGGCGGGTAAATTGATTAATCAAACTAATGAGAGAAATAATTGTTATCTGAAATATCTTCATTAGCTGCTCTTATCTGTCTGCTAGGGTTTAAGAAAGTACACTCCCCAACACCCAAATTACTCAGAAAAGAAAAAGGAAAGTCTATAGTTATTTTCACCTCCACTCAAACTTGGAATTATATCTCAACTGTAATTGCCTGCACTATCTGCTGTTGAACAATTTTTTGTGTGTGCTCGCTGACAAGTCAAGTTCACAAATTCACAAAGGCATTCGGACCATGCTTTCTTGTACCGGTATAAGCTATAATTTGCATTCATTTTGTGGCCTTCCTTGGCGAGTGCCTTATAATGAAAAGCAGGGGCATCAGTCTGCCATGATTGCAGTGATTATCTTATGCCAGCACCAGTGATATTGTACCCTGTAGGGATGCATCACTTTTATTCTTATTAAACTCCTTATTTCCAGCTGTTCTAGAAGGATAGAGAAGTAAATCTTACTGCTTACTTAAAATCAGTTGAGTCAGGCACGCAAAATTCAATGTGATCTTTAACAAACATCAACATCAACATCAACATACCCAGTATATTCCCAACTGCCTGCTACTGAATACCATTTACTTTTTATCAGCTGTATGTTTGCATTGCATGCTAGTTAAATATCCACATTGATTTACAGATTGTGGGTCCACTTTGTGAGTTAAGAAGTTTTTATTTCTGAGTTCTCGGTTGCATCGTGTGCTGCACAAGTTATAGTTATGGTATACTCTTACTTTTGGTTGTCAGTCATGCTTAGTGCCCATGCTAGGTATTGATTTGAGATGTAAATTTCACACTAGCCACATTACAATTAACTTTCACCAAAATGTTTCAGATACAAGCTTGTAGTTGCTGCACCAGAGCCCAGGAAAGTTGCTTCTCCTTCCATTATAAATATTCAGGTTTTAGTTATGACCTTCATATTTTTAGTTGGGTGGATAAAAAATTGATTCATTGCCCATGCTATGTTTCCGAGTCATTGTAGACAATATTGACAAAATTAGAGTGGTCAAATGTTTAGCCACCTTTATGAATTTTAACTGATTGTGAGTGTTCCAAATCTTTTTCTATATCAGGGATGGCTTCCAGGATTGAAAACTGATGGAGATTCTAATCAACTACCTACTATAGCTATTGTGGCATCGTATGATACATTTGGAGCTGCACCAGTTAATAACTAACTCCTCGATACGCTTTCATGTTTTATTGAAAGTATATGGACTTATGACATCTTATTGCTTGCAGGCATTGTCTGTAGGAAGTGATAGCAGTGGTAGCGGTGTTGCAGCACTTCTGGAAATAGCTAGATTATTTTCCATTTTGTATTCAAACCCTAAGACAAGAGGAAGATATAATTTACTCTTTGCCCTGGCATCAGGAGGACCTTATAACTACAATGGAACTCACAAGGTGCTTGTTTTATTATATTTATCTCTTGTTTTTAAATATACATGTGTGTATGGGTGTTAATCATAATAATGTTTTTTGTACATTCTCTTTGCAGTGGCTTCGTAGCATGGATCAGCGTTTGCGTGAGACCATTGATTATGCTATATGCTTGAACAGCATCGGCTCTTCTAGCAATGAGTTATGGCTTCATGTGTCCAAGCCTCCAGAAAACGCCTACATAAAACAAATATATGAGGTTACCCCACCTCCAAATTTGTGAGGAAGAATTAATGTTGTAAGGCAACTATTATTAGTTTGAAGGGGTAATTACAAAAATGATTCCTGACCTGAGCTATTGAAAAATCAATATAGTTCCTTGAGAGGTTGTTTCTTTTAGAGAAAAAAAAAAAAAAA